CTGAATGGACAACCGCTTGGAGAGCAGCTGCAGCGTCTGACTGTGCTTGAAGCCTAGCTGTCTCAATATCAGATATTTTTGAGGCATCTGAAGAATCTGAGGCATCAGAATCTTCCTCGCTACTGCCATTTTCTTCTCTAGCTAGAGAAGAGAAAGAATCATCCTCCTTACAATCTGAATCACTAGCATTCTCCCATTTGACATCCGACTCGCTGTCAAGACGGCGTCGCGTCGACCGAACTAGATGCTTGCCAGATCTTAGCCGATGACCTCTTCGAGGTTTTCGAAGACCTGAATGAGCATCATTCTGGGCAATAAGCTGTCTGGAAGAGGGGGCTGTGGAGATTTTATCATCCTCACAGTGTGGCACAGTGGCTATGAAAAAATGGAGAATGAAACATTGAGAAAGAATTAATGAAACCAAGATAGAAATCGAAATGTAATTAACATTGAATATTACTGAATATTACTTATATAGAGACATCGGAATACACCCATTATCAAAAGCATACAGAGAAAAATGAAGACCCTTTATTCGTAAATGAGTAGGGTTTCGACCCTTTATCTTAGCGAAAATCGAGAAAGCTTGATATTTAAATTAATAGCAGTGGCAGGAATATCTAAGGGATTATTATATATATGGTAGTATTGTGAATTATAATTTTGACAATACAAGGTAAAGTGATGACAGCAAATATATGCTAATATTAATGGAGTAAAATTAAGGAGATAAAGAGCATTTAAGAAAATTACAGCTTTACAAGATGTAGTGACTTTTACTCCACAGTCAGTTTAGCTACATTTTTCTCGCAGTTATCTCTCAACTCATGCAACACACACGGAGCATGACTCATCGGCACTGTCCCGCAGCAACTAAGCGAAGATAGCTACCGCATCCAGCCTCTCTGTCGAACCCAATCAGAACGTGACATTAAAAGTACACAAGAGTATTTTAAACCAGAAACTCCATAGATTGGGGACATCCTGCTCCGCCGCCCCTCGGTGACCGAATACTGCAATCTTGTACCAACAACGTATTCCGCCATCGTTTTTTGTTTTCTCCTACCGAATCCAGGCAGTAAATCTTCCTGTTTCTTTATACAAAGCTAGGGTATCCTATAGAGTAATGCGAAGCCCAACACATTTATAGTTGGATTCACTAAAAATCTATGGATTGGTGCATTTAACGTTATACCATACGCTAGCTTAAAAAATGATGGACAAAATGTTTATGAATAAAATTTCATTTCAAGACTTTTGATGAATAAAAAAATGTATTTGAGAAAAAGTCTTGCAAGACACTGTGCTGATTTCAAAATATTCTGAACCTAAAAGCCATAAATCAAGTAATTTTTTATTAGGAGATTGTACATAATATATCATA